CTTCGCTCCTCCTCCCGGCCGGCAGATCGGATGGGCTGTGCCGCCTGTAGTTGGCACAGTGAGCCCCTGGGGACCCATGCGGCCCTCAGGCCTGGTCCAAGGAAAGTACCCTCAGGCAGGTGTCCGTAGAAACTCCAAGTTACAAACACCCACACGTACCAACAGCGTCTCCCCTGCCGCCTCAGGCAGGGACGTCCTTAGCACTTATGGGCTGGAGAACCGCCCAGGGAGTCCTGTTAAACTGGTGCCCCCCATGTCCAGTGGCAGCCCGGGGGAGGGGATAATGATTTTTTTTAAAGATAGGATTTCTATAATCTTCCACGTGCTCAGGAAATATTTTTACAGCAAATTCTAAACTAAGGTCCTGTCAACTGACGGAGCCAATGCAGACACTGGCAGCAGAGCGCTGGGGTTGGCACATGCCTGTTGCCACTTGATTGGCTCTTTCACAGGTTCGGTGTGCCACGAACAGCTCTGGCCAGCTTAGCGAGGGCCCCTCCGGAGGAAGCAGAGCCCCAGAGCAGGGATAGGAAGAGGCGGGTGGACATGAAGACTCAGCGGGGCCCCAAATTTTCAGACGCCCCCACACAGCTGCATGTTGTGCGGCTGGGTGAGGACGGCCCTGGCCTCGGGAGCAGGCAAGAGGCACAGGTGGCAGCGAGCAGGCTGGAGGGGCAGCGGGCAGTCGCCCAGCCAGCGCCTGGAGAGAAGGGGCGATTTGAAGGGGAAACCGGCGCGTCTCTCCCAGCTGCTGGCTGCGCGACCACCCCCTGCTCCTCCGAGCCGCATTTGTACTGCTCGCTGCCTCCTAGGGAGTGGGAGCTGGGTGCAGAGCAGGTGGCACAGCGCTGGTGTGGGGAGGGCTGGTGGCCAGGGGATGCCTAGAAGCTCCCTTCAGAATCTCCACCTGCCCCTCACCCTCCTCTAGCGAAACCTGCGTTTCCTCAAGGCCCAGCACGGAAGGTGAAACGATTTCCGCCTTTCAGCCCCAGCCCGGCGAGCCTGGGCCCCCAACTACCATTTCCAACGAGGTTTCTATGGGAACACGCATTCCGAGTTCCAGACCCCCTTTTGGCGCGCGACCTGTTCGTAAGGTGGGGCCTTCCTGTGTCTGGTCGCTAGGCGTCGCCCATGGACACATTACTAGCAGCCCACTTGTCTTTGCTCCGGGCTGTCCAGCCAGAGCGCCGCATGCAGCCTCCTGCTCCGTCAGCGCCAGCTGGTACTGAAACGCCCACGCGTCTCCTGTGGATTCAGAGGCCCCGTCCCACAAACCGGCTCACCCTGAAACAAACGGCTTTCGCCTAGTGAAAGCGGAACCTCCATCCATCCGCTGCACCCACGTCACTGGGCCAGGCACCCGTGTCAGCAGAATGTCTTACGGCAGTGCTCTCCAACCTTTTTACACCCAAGATCACTTTTTAAATGACAGACCAAGCCAAGATCTACTGCCCCGCCCCTTCCTTGAAGCCCCGCCCTCTCTATTCTCCTCCTCTCCATCACTTGCTATCCCCAAGCCTTATACTGCTGCTTTAAAAAAAAAAAATTCTGTAGGAAGAGGTTTTTCCAACATTTGGCCTGTCTAGACTGGACCAAATGTCAGAAAAAAACCCTTCTTTTGGAAGCCCCCTTATTCCTTGTGGAAAGAGGAATATAGGGGTGACCAAAAGAGCCTGTTTGCTCTTCCACTAAAAAAGCGGAAGAACAAACACAATCCTGGATGTAGAAGAGGTTTTCTGGGATATCTCCAGAATCCTGAAAAACCCCTGCAGTCTAGCTGGACCCTTCCTGTGTTGAGACAGGATGTGTAATCTCTGGGCTGGGAATGAGGGATTTGGGTGTGGGAAGGGGTGAGAGGTGAAACTCTGGGTGGAAATCTGGATGCAGGAGGAGGTGAAGAAGGGGACACTGGCTCGGGGAGGAGGCTCCAGGCTGGACAGTGTTGGGATACTGACACTAACAGCAAGCTTCCTGGGCTGAGCGCAGGGCAGCCGGGCGGGAGCGAAGAGAAGCGGCTTCCTGGCCCGCCGG